TTCAAAGAATAGATTTATAAAACATTATTTTAGTAATAATAATAATTACTATCAAAAATAAATGCCATACTTGGTTCACTGATGAGGTCTAAGTGCTTAACATGGAGAGCTCTTTATAAATATTTGTTAGACAGATGGATATGCTGAGTGTTTTCTATGCCCCAGGGATTGTTCTGAGAAATATACCTCTATCATCTCATTTATCTTTACAACAATCCATTGAGGTAGCTATAATTACCCTCCTATTATAGAAGAGGAAACTGACGCTCACCGAGAATAAGCAGGTTGCCCAAACTCATAAAGATTGTAAATGACAAGACCTGGTTCTGAATGATCTAATTCAAAGCCCATTTTTGGTTTTTATTCTTTTTAAAAGTTGTACATATATTATAGAAAATGCTCTTAAAATATTTATATCAAGCTATTAACAGTGGTTTGATGTGACCCAAGTGGTAGAATTATAAGACTTTTTTCTTTTTTATCTATATATTTTCATGTTTCCAAAGTGAACATTTGATTCTGTAATCAAATATGTTAAAAAGGAAGGCTGGTGTTGATTTGACCACCATTAGCCCCACTAACAAAAAGGCCTTTGTGGAGTTTTTCTTTCTCTAGAAAAAATGAATCATTCCCTTGCCATGCTATCTCAAAACTCTGTTCCACATCTACTGTTTACTTTTTTTTACCCTTTTACGGTCATTATTGTTTGAATTCTGTTCTTTCCGACTTGACTAAGTCGGAGAATGTGTTTTGCTCCTATTTGTATTTTTAGGGCTAATACAGTGCCTGGAGCACCAGACATCTGTCCAAAGAGATTTATCTAATTGAAATAGAATCTTAAAATACCAAAATCAGTGTTTGTTTTCACACACAACCCCCCTTTCTGGCCCCATGTCTTGTGCACTGAATATTATGTATTTGTTTCTCGGCTCTGCCATGGCAAAGCAGGCCTCCACTGCCCTTTATCTCCTACCGCTAAGAGCAGTAGCCACTAAGTGTAAAAAATCAAAACAAAGCACTTTCTTATCTCCCTGATGGAGTAAAAGCAGTGAAGCCCAAATAATGCTTAGTTACCAAAAGCCACTCCAGGTGGCTAATCGAAAGGGTATTGATTTTAGCTAGTAAATAGCCCTTAATATAGTTGGAACCGGTTGAATATGCAGCCTGGTAATTAGGTAATAAAGCAAACAAGGGCTGGAGAGAACTGGGCACAGTTGGATAAGCAGCAGCCTGTCATCCAGGAAGCTCGCAGAGGTCTAATACTTTCCCACATTAAGGACTCAAGTTACCGTCAGGACTCCATGTCTAGTGTTTTCAGCCATTAAATAAGGAAAAAAACTATAAACCCTATAAACGTAGGGTATGAGATATAACTAAAAGCAATTGTAAATGTTTTGCAAATATTACATGCAGTGGAAATGCTTCCTGAAGACAGATGTTGCAATTTAATAATCTTAAGTAGGTAGGTTTAATAACTCTTTTAGATCATCAGGATAATGTTTAGTGCCTGGTGATAATTATTAAACAATTCTCAATTTGTTAAATCATGTGATACTCCACACAAATCCATGGTTTGATTACTTCCCACATTATCCTCCAACTGTTCAATGTTCAACGACATGGCAAAGTGGCAGAGGCCAGTTGGGGAAAAAGAGAGAGAGAGATTAAGTTAGGCAGAGATCACTTTGAGAAAGAAGAAAATCAGGGATAGAGGGTCAGAGGATGAAAGCATAAGCAAACAGGTTAGAATGCAAAGGACCTAAATTAGAGGTGGTACATTACAAATCTAGAGGTCAACTTCAGGATCCAAGTGCATTGTATTAGAGCTGTTAAGAGTTTTTTTTTTTTTTTTTTAAGATATTAAAAGACATTATTTATTTATTTATTGAATTTATTGAGATAGAATCTTGCTCTGTCACTCAGGCTAGAGTGCCATGGGCTCAGCCTAGCTCACAGAAACCTCAAATTATTAGGCTCCAACAATCTTCCTGCCTCAGCCTTCTGAGTATCTGGCATTACAGGTGTCTGACACTAGGCCCAGGTAACTTTTCTGGTTTTTTAGAAGAGATGAGGTCTCACTTTTGCTCAGGCTGATCTCGAACTTCTGAGCTCAAATAATCCTCCTGCCTAGGCCTCCCAGAGTGCTAGGATTACAGGTGTAAGCCACCTTGCTTGGCTTTTTTTTTTTTTTTTTGCCTTTTCAAAGATTTGGCGGGTAATGTTTTCTAAAAGTTGAAAAAACATCTTACAAAAATATCCCAGAGTTTTAGTTTATTTTGAAAATTCAGAGTATCTATTAACAAGGACCTAATTCCCCTATGACAACAATGAACAAGAGTTTGTTGAGGCTATTACTCTTATTTATGCTACAAATTTTGATTATGGAGGCCAGGCATGATGGCTAACACCTATAATCCTAGCACTCTGGAAGGCTGAGGTGTGGGATTGCCTTGAGCTCAGGAGTTCAAGACCAGCCTGAGTAAGAGTGAGACCCCAGCTCTAAAAACAGACCCCAGTGTTGTGGTGAGCACCTGAAATCTCAGTGACTTGGGAGGCTGAGGCGACAGGACCACCTCAGCTCAAGAGGTTGAGGTTGCTGTGAGCTATGATGCCCTTTACTGAGGGTGAAAAAGTGAGACTCTGTCTCAAAAAAAAAAATAAAATAAAACTTTTGATTATAAAAATTTTAAAGCTCACTGTAAATTAGAAAGAAAGATAAATATTTGCCTACATCTAGACTCAAAAGCTATTAATATTTTATTTTGATTATGATCATAATCATATGCCTATATAATAGATATTTTATATTTATATTTTTGCTAAACCATCTTAAAGTGGATATGTTAATTTATCTCTAAACACTTTAGCATGCATTTCTAAAAATAAAGACAGTTTCTTACATAACTTCAATATTATCATGTGGAATAAAAACTAATTATAATTTCCTCAGGTTAAATATTTGGGACAAAAATAATTGAGAGGTGATCGTGCGAATTTTGTGTTACATCATGTCAGGAGGTATACAACCATCAGATGTTCTAGTGGTTATGCAAAGTTTGGCACCAGGTTAAGATAGTGAATGGGTTAACATCATTGAATGTGTCATATTTTCTCCAATTTGCCATAGACCCTACCTACCACTTCTTACTTGTTTTGCATTAATATAATGAACTAATTTTACCTTGCCAGGGAGGCATATGTGAACCTTGACCTAAAGTATATTACATGCTGCAGTCTGGTGTATGTGATAAAAGCATGTACTCCTATGTCTCTGGAAGAAGAGAGTAGTGTCTGGCTTTAAGTCAGAAACAGCTGGAAGGAAGGAGGGTGTGAGGAAGATTTCAGAACTCATTTCCTGAACTTGGTTCAGAGAAGTCTTGTGTCCTTTATGTAGAGTAGACTATAGAGGCTGCCAGCTCTAGGGAATGACTTTTTATGTGACCTGGGCAGAAAGGTAAAAGACTAGCAGAGAAATCATAACAAGGAGGAAGATATAATTTAAAATTCTATGGCAGTTAAGGGTTCTTATTACCTGCGCCTTACATTTAAGAAGGGCTTTGATACAGATTGAGTTTTCCAGAGGCAGAGAGTGGGATGGAGGATGATATGCAGGTGACTTCTGTGAGGAAGAGGGCAGAAGCAGAACTGGGCAGAGGGAGAAATGAGGTTGTGATATAATCCCAGCAAGGCCTCCTCTCTCATCCCCTGAGAAAATTCAGGAGCATATACACCCATCAGAGTTATTTTTATACCCCTGACTCATTTAAACACAAGGTAAGGACTAGCCTAGTAAAGGAATAACCTTGAATCAGGCAGTTCTAGATCTCGCATCTGACTGGTCTACAGTCCAGACCCCACATTTAAAATTCTGCTCTTATCTCTAAATGAGACTAAAGGGACATTTACTGAAATTTTCCTTTTGCTGAGAATTCGTTGGTTAGTTGTAAACATTAAAATTACCCTAGGACTTTTTTTTCAATCTTGTTTTGACATTTCTTTACTTATTAGGAGTCTCAAAAAATACTTTTAAAATGGTCCAGGCATCTTTCAAGTTTTATACGGCTCTGATAGTGCTTCAATATCCCAATGGGTAGAAAAATGAACCCATTTACATGGTTATAAATTGCGTTGGCATCCTAAATGAAAAACACCCTATAAATGTCAGTGATGTGCTAAAGATCTAGCTCACAAATTATAGATAGGTATTAGTACCAAAAGGAAATGAATGGAGGAAACTGTATTGTCCCCTATTGTTGCTGTAACAAATTGCCATACATTTAGTGATTCAAGCAGCAGGAATTTATTGGGTCAGTTCCAGACACCAGAAGTCTGAAATGAGCATCACTGGGCTGAAATCAAGGGGTCAGCTGGGCTGTCCTCCCTCTGGAAGCTGCAGTAAGAATCCATTCTGTTTCTTCCAACTTCTAGTGGCTGTTGGCATTTCTTGGCTTGCGTTTGTGTTACCCCAATATCTGATTCCATGGTCACTTTGTGATGTACTTTTCTGCCTGCAATGCCCCTATTACTTTTTTCTTTTAAGGGTACCTGTGATTGCATTTAGGGCCAACACCTGTAATTCAGGATAATTTCTCTATCTCAAGATACTTACTCATATCTGCAAATTCCCTCTCCCCCACCATATATGGTAACATTGATAGCTTCTAGGGATCAGGATGTGAATATCTTTTGGAAGGCCCTTATTCAGCCTACCATAATATAGCTTTTCAGTCTTTGCTTTATAACATTCATCAATCTGGAGGCAATTTGCTTTTCACCGAGCACAAGAGCAGGGAAATAAATAGTATGTAGGGTGAGCATAATAATGCAAAAACTAGAATTTCAACCTCTAGAACTTTGAGACCCACTTTGGGAAGGCCCCTTTGTGAGGGCAGTACATTTGTTCTATTTCAAAACTAAAGTAGGACTGAGTTATAGTGAAGAGTACATGCTCAATAAAACATTGTCTCGTTCCACATTTAACTATTGAAATATATTTTTAGAATGCACATGTCTCTAAATTTACTAGATGTTTTGATGAAAGTACATTTGAACCCCTTTCCATCTGATTACTAAAGGAAAAATAAGTTTTTTAGAAAATATTTTAGACGCTGTGACACTAGGTTCTACCTTCTTATAATATATCAAGTTGTCTCATGCTCAGAAACTTTGCCAGGGTTGAGTTAGGCAGAAAGGGAACTAGATTATTTATTTACAGTGCAATCTAGAGAATTTTAAGGTAATAAACTTTCCATTAAGTTGTAAAATTTCTCCTTCATAGACATTACATTGAACCATTCTTTTTTTTTTTTTATTTTATGTCCCCCTAAAGAGTTCTTTCAAAAATGAACTTCAATTTGTAATCCAAGGGTAACAGAATAAAAATCCTCTGCTTCTCTTTCATTTCTAGGCTTTGCAGGATAATTTTGCTAGTAAAGGGGAATGAAGGAGATTTACTTTTGAGGCCAAAGTATTTGCCGAGGGAACCGCACCTGTTACCCTCTGGCTTATGCTCCTTGTGTGTAAAACGCTTTCCTCTTGGCTTCGCAGAAATTAGGTCAATGCCTCTATGTTTCCAGGCTACTAAATTAAGGTAAAACACACTCACTTTAAAGCTGGTCATATGCAGAAATAAATCTTGTTCATTGCTATTATTATTCTATTTCTGATATTCAGATTCATTCATTTTTAAAGCCATATCATAACATTACAAAGAGTGTCAAGTTTATTTTCAGCATTTACTGCTGAGATTTATACCATTTCCAGGTTATATAACAGGTATTCAGATGTGGAGCTGAGCAAATCTCCAGTTTCTCGAGCTGTTTACCCTTGGCTCAGCTCAAAGTTTATCACCTTTCACTGGGATAATAACTAGCCTTACTCAGAAGAACCTAACTCCATTTTGCCTCAACTTCGTCGTCAGAACTTAATAGGAGGCTATGCTCCAGAGGCAACATTATTCAGTTTCCATCATCAACGTTTGGGAAAGCTTGTTTCAGTGCTGCCCTGTTTTAGTAACAAAGTGGATAGAGAAAGAGTACACATTTCCTTCCCCCTCCAGACCTCTAAATCTAAGTAAGTTTCTTGGTGCCACTTTATATTGCTGCTTTAAACATTTATTTTAAGAATACTTTCCCACTTTTTATAAAGCAGAAATAAAACTTAAAGTACCCATTTAAAAATATATTTAGTATTTTTATTCCATCTTTTCAAGGATCATATATTTTCACCTCAGTCTTGATCCTGACTCTGAGAATCACTGACATGGGAAGATTTTCTGTTGAATATTTTTAGATGTCTATAACTCTGCTGTTAAGAATTCATGTAACAAGTAGGTGGAGATCTATTAAGTCAGCTAGTCTAATCTTAAAATCTCAAAGTGGTTTGTCCAGTCCTGCTGGAGGATTTAGGATTTTTCGTGGATAACATTGTTAATCTTTTGAAAACTCTATATTATTTTTTTCTTTTACTTCTAAGTAGTGAACTTGTAGTCTTTGTTTAATTTTTTGTTAGTTTCCTGACATTGGCAACTATTGTTAACAGTGGATAAGATAATAATAGGTTTATACAGTACTTTCTAATTCTTGTAAACTAGTTAAAATGTACTAAAGTTAAAGAATATGATGAAAAATATGTGAACCTATGAAACTCGGAACAAAGTGTCTTGGCAGAATATTGGAACAAAAGTCAGAATGACTGTGGTTCAGGGACGGGAATTGACATTGGTGATTCTTTCACTGACAGTCTGTATGCCAGGCATTTTATATATTTATCTCTTTCCAATCCAGTTTGGCCACTTGCAAGCTGTGCTATTTGGATATGTTAGTTAATAGTTCTGTACCTCAATTTTCTCATTTGTCAAGATGAAATAAAATAAAACCAAAAACTCAAAATACTTATTTTGAGGATTAAAAATTACCTGTACCTTGTTAATACTAGTGCCTGGCACAAAGTAAACATTATGTGAATGTTTGCTATTAACATTTTTCACTGAGGAAGATACCGAGGTTCTGAAAAGCTAGAGAACCAGACAGTGGTTGATGAACTTATAAGAAGACGGATTCAAAGTCCACACAGTATTCTCTATTCTAAGCAGTTTCTCATTTTTAGTGTTTGCTCTGTGTTAGTTCACATTGTAACCTTAGGTAAGTCATCTAATGCTTCTGGGCTTGGTTCATCATTTATATAATAAAAGCATGCAGGTTAATATTTATGGCGCCATTCAATTCTAATATTCCATGGGAAAATCTGTTTTTCTCTAGAAATAGGCAGGGACTAAAATAGCTGGCCCTAGCCATGTGGTGAACGGTCATTAAAAGTGCGTAGTAGAATTATCACTGGAAAGTTTTCCCATGGTGGGGAAAGTTACTCTTTCACAGCTGGGTTTAAGATGCTTCAACAGCAGGTAGCCTGTACTCCAGGTCTGAGAAGGAAAGAAATTTTTGTTGCACTAGAATGTAGAGCACAACCTAATTTTGTCTGATAATAATACAAAAACAAAATAAATAAATGGTGAGCAAACTTAGGCTTTGGTAAGATAGGAATGAATAAAAAGAGGAAAGCTTTTCAGAATTCTGAAGCCATGCAAGGGTGAAAATTCATGACTGCCCTGAAGTTTTCTTAGGCACTGGAGAAAAAAGTTAGGTGGCACCAAGGTTATTTGACACTAGCAATCTGGAAGATAGTAAACATAATTTTATTCCAAATGCTGAGTCATACTTATGGTGACAAAGAGAAACACTCAAGACTCTGGCTTCCCTGAAGTCTTGGTCTTCAACAGTTTGACTTCTGCTGAAATAATTACATCATGTTTTTAAATTTGGTTATGATTAGTGCTTCCCTTCCCATAACCCTATTTAGATTCCCCCCCTTTTAGCCCCATGAGCTAAAAGAAGCAGAAGCAGGTGTTTGTTGAGAAGGGAAGGTTTTTAAAAAATTATTGTCTGTAGCTCTATTATAGCCTAATACTTAATTTGTAAAAGGAATTCCAAAATTAAGGATTATACTCCCGCCTCATAAAATTATTTTAACAATGAAAAGAACATGCTTAGGTGTACGGGAAATTGTACTCCTATTGGATAACCCAACCAGCAACTAAACTTTTAGTGGAATTCTTGCTATAGAAAGAGGGGCAGAGATAGGGAGGCTGAAAACTACTTCAGGTACTCATAAATAGTATCCTTAAAAAATGTTCTAAAATGTTATGCTTTAGGCTAAAAAACGTGTTTTTATGTTTTATTACCTTTAGACAATATTGATGGAGTAACTAGGGAATAATTTTTGACTTTATAAGTCTGTGAAAATCTTAAAGCAAAAGTATCTCATTAATCTCTCCATTTTGAAATTATCTAGTCTTCACTTTTAAAAGTTGACAACTTTTAAAATGTGCTCTAAATAACTTACACTCTAATTACAAGCCAGTAATGCTTTTTATCCAATAAGTGAAAATACCTACTATAGAACAGTTTCCTATTTTTTTATTAGTATTATTTTCAGAGACAGGGTCTTACTCTATTGCCCAAACTGGAGTGCAGTGCTATGATCATGGCTCACTATAGCCTCCAATTCCTGGGCTCAGATGATCCTTCTAACTCAGCCTCCTGAGTAGCTGGACTAAAGGTATGTACTACCATATTTATCTAATTAAAAAAGTATTTTTGTTCAGACAGGGTCTCACTGTGTTGCCCAGGACAGTCTCAAATATCTGGCCTCAAGTGATCATCTTCCTTTGGCCTCCAAAGTGCTGGGATTACAGCTGTGAACCATGGTGCCTGGCCCAGTTTTCATTTAATTTTAATTTTAATTTTATTTCATTGTACTGTATTTTACTTAACAGTAATAGCTGAGATTAGATCTATGTATGGAGAGTGGGGAAGTGGGAAATGTAGATTGAATAAATTGTAGGCTGCTCCATTTAGCTTCTGGGGCTGTCCTCCTTTACCTGGTTCTCATACACACCTTCTTTCTTTGCCCTTCCTGAATTCCCCCAGGTGCCTATGTCCTCTGCTTTCCTTTGGTTGCTTTAGGCCCCAACTTTGGCAGGAGAATCATGTGCAGTGCTCTTAACTTTTCTCCTCTGCTCCCATATCCATCCTCCCTCCTACCCTCCACCTCCTCCCATATATATCCAAATCAGACCCAGAGTCTGAGGGATGGTCATGGGTCACTGATGAGAACTGTACCCTTGTTGGCTTGTTAGGTAGCAAGGTGACTAGGACCTGTGGGGAAAATACATAGCAGACATTGTAGGTCCTTAAAGAAGTCCTTCATCTAAGCATTCATCTCAAACCAATCAACACTTCAACATCTATTAATGTTACTGTGCTAGGCACCAGAGTGTAATAGATAGTTTCCATTTTCCAAGCACTGAACTGTTCTGGAAGAATTAGTGGGAATGACACCCATGCCTGGAATGCCATTCAACCAGAGTATTCTATTTCTGAGTAACATGTCGTACTGTACTGTTAGATAATAAATGTCTGAGATTTAAAAAAAAAAAAAAAACCAACCCAAACGCGAAGAGCATGGCTTGATATATCAACCTAAAGCGAGAAACAAAAAGCCCAAGGCAAACTTAATATAAGTAGAGAATCTATTTGAGGACTGTAACTCTTAAAATTGCCCTGAATCTATGCTCCAATTAGCAGCAGTTACAAGTGGGTTGTTAAAGGAAAAGTAGAGGTAGTACAAAGTTGTTTAAGAATTTAAGAATAAGTTACATAAAATAAACACTTTTTTGATTGGCTATACACTGTTTTTTTTTTCTTTTTATCACAAATTCCAGGAACAAGAAGATCATAGGGTAAGCTTGCCAATCAAGAACAAAATCCCTTTAAACAACTGACCCAGGTGTGCGTGTGGGAGTGTAATGAAGTCCTATACTCAAATCTCCACGGCCTGATACATTTCACACACCCCACATAGCTCAGACGGCTATGGGCTATTTTTCGCCTTAATTTACAAGGATGGGAAACGTTGGCTGCAAACATAGGTCACTGTGAAAGGTTTGGCCACAGACTGCACTCACTCCCAAGAAACACATCAACAGCTTCCTTCCGATTCACCCGTGCAAATTTCAACTTGCTGGGCTTATCGGTGTTGCTGGGAGGACTTCATTTGCTTCCATCCACACAGACTTTGTTTCTTCATTTTGTGTATCGCAAAACTTTAGTAATGGCCCACGTATTAGAATCACCTGGGGGAACTTTTAAATAATGGCTCTCAAACTTCAGTGTGCGTCAGAATCGCTTGAAGGGTTAAATCTCATGGCTCAGCCCTAGCCACAGAGTTTATGAATCAGGTAGTCTGATATGCAGGAGAGAACTTGCATTTCTAGCCAGGTTTTCAGGTGATACTGACGCTATACCTTGAGAGCCACAGTTTCAAAATATAAGAATTTCCAGGCCCCACCTCTAGATTGATTCCATGGGTGTGGGGATGGAAATCTGGCCTTGATCATTGCCTTTATCCTCCAGTTAAAAGGTGTAACCCAGAGCGAGAAGCACTGTTTCTCTGGGAGAACTGTGGTTGGTTCCCTGAAGTTACTATGGAATTGGAAACTAATCAACGAATGTACTAATTTTTCCGGGTCAATTGGCTAGGCACCTGTGGCTCAAGCGCTAAGGTGCCAGCCACATACACCTGAGCTAGCAGGTTGGAATCCAGCCCGGGCCCGCCAAACAACAATGACGGCTGCAACCAAAAAATAGCCGGGACGTTGTGGCGGCGCCTGTAGCCCCAGCTACTTGGGAGGCGGAGGCAGAAAAATCGCTTGAACCTAGGAGTTGTGGAGGTTGCTGTGAGCTGTGATGCCACAGCACTCTACCCAGGGCAACAGCTTGAGGCTCTTGTCTCAAAAAAAAAAAAAAAAAAAAATTCTGGGTCAATTGTAGGAATTCTGAAGTATTTAAGGACTTTAAGTGACAATCATTGATTTTAAAAGTGCCACTGCGGTTTTTGTTCACACTAACTTGGCTGCCTTTGGAAGACCTTTCTGACCACCCTCGGGTTTATTTTCTGTAGGTCTTCAGAGAAGGCTTAAAGAAGTGGGGTCCCTTTGAACCCTGTCTGTGCTCTTGTATTTTCAACAAGTGAGCTGGGCATGCTCAGTGGGCAGGGTCGGTTTTGGGGGGGTGCAAGTGGGAAGCCTGCAGCTCAGCCGCCGGGGCTCTCCTCCCCCCACCTGTACGAGGCTGGGCTGGAAGAGCCTGTGCTCAGCTTCCCACCCCCTGGTGCTTGGGCTTGGTCTTCCCTGCGGGTCCCCGCGCTGTCATTCAGGCGGGGGGCCAGGAGGCCTAGTGTCCTCCTGAGCGCTCGGGGGGAGCCGGGGCGAGGGCTTTGGGCTGGGCCGCGGGGTCCCAGGGGTCCGCCCGCCTGCTAGAAGCGTTTCTAGGCCCAGGGAAGCCTGCCTGCCGGGAGGTGCGGAGTAGGGGCAGCCAGATCCGGGGGCAGGCGGCGAGAAGTCCTCAGGTAAGCCAGTCTCGTCAGCGCGCAGGCGGCCAAGTGTCTCCCCTCTCCCAGGCAGATGGCCAGGGCGACCCGGCGGGGGAGGGCACAGGAAATCTAACACCGTCGCAGTCTTCTCCCGGCCTAGTCCAGCCGAGGATTTTTGTCTGCTAGCCTCCTGGTAAGGCGAGACTCAGGGTCTGGAGTCAGGCACCGCCACAGCGCCAAGCTGAAACTGCAGCCTGGCAGGGCCACCGTGTAGCCGCGGCGCGGCCCCTCCCGGCGTGTCCCGGTGTCCCGGTGGAGTCACAGGTTCATTGGGCGGCGGGGACTTGGCTCGCTCGCCGCCCGCCGGGGCGCTGCGCTTCCCCGCACCCAGCCCGGGTGCCCGGCTCCACTTCCGTGTTTCTCTCTGGGCCAGGGCAACCTGGGCCCCAAGTATCCCGGCTGCATGTGGCCCCGGCGCGGCCAGGGTCATACCCCGGGGCGGGAGGAGGCGCGGGCTGGGAGGAGGAAGTCGCCGGGAGGCGGGGGCGCGGCGGCGCCGGGCGCGTCGGGTTACTCCGGCCCAGCCAGCCCGGGTGACAAATCCGCGCGCCTTGCTGGGAGCACCAGGGCCGAGGCTTCGGATTCTGGGGGGAGGCGGATTCCGCCCTGGCTGGAGGAACTAGGTGCTCCTGCCTGCCGTCCCTTGGCGCTTGAGGATAAATCTCAGGTGTGTACTTCTGGAGACCCCTTCTCTCTCGGCCCTGGGAGTGGTCCCTTTCGGAGCAGGGCGAGTCTGCTGGGACTTGGGCGTTGGGGTACGGATGGTGGCGGGAAACTGGGGAAAAATTTAGAATTTCCTCCAACAGATGGGCTCGTTCTTATCTAGGGTTTAGCTGTTTACATTTTCGAGGCGGTTAGGGTGTAATACATTTGTAAAACAGTAAAGTGGCAGGACTTTTGGGTGAAGGTTGGTATCTCATTTAAAGTTTTTGCAAACTTTTAGCTTGGGAACCTGTCTGAAACAAGGGTGGGAAGGGTTCTGGAAGAGGACTGAGGCTTCTTTGAGAACTCAGTTGCTGAAGTCTGACAGTCCTAGGAGGAAGTGAAAGGTGTACGCTGACCCCACATAGTGACTTTTACAAGCGAAAATAGATTTGCAAGGAGGGCTTTGCCTGGAAGGCAGCTGGGTAAATTTAAGTGCTGCTTTTAGCAAATGGTCTTCAGTCTGGCTTCCACCTTGTGAAAAGGAATGTTAACTTCCACATCAGCCATCCTTGAGTTCTAAAGTAATTTACAAGAACAGATTCTCATAAAGTGGTTGTGACATAGTCAATTCAAATCACACAACAACTTATATATTTCATAGGACTCAGCTATAGAAACGGTAGCTAATTTAGTCAACTTACACTTGTATAAAATAGGTGAGGGAAGGAAGTTGGTAAGTTACACTTCATTTTTATTGCTTAAAACAAAACTTTGTATTTTGCCTATGTTGCAAGTTTAAGAGATAAGTTTCTTTTTGGAGTATGTAGGATACTGGCAGCTGGCAGGTTGAGCCAGGCACTTCTTAGTAGTTACTGACCATGCTAATCTCTGAGTCCTATAAGTTCTTGCTGACCATCACAAGAGAGCTGGATGGCATTGCCCAATGGATCCGCTGTGCAGCCTGAGAAACCTTGTGATAGGCGTGTTGAAATCCCCTTGTTTCTCATGAGAGCTTTTTGTTAAGTTAGAACACTCCCTTGATGTTTACGAATCTACTCTTCAAGTCATGCAGCAATGTTTTAGTGGATAGTGGATAAAAGATGGGATTTTGGTCTTGAGAATCAACATTGTTGTAACAGTTCATTCTAACTCAGAGTCACCTGATGAAGAAATTCTAGCAGTGTTAGAGCTTTGCTTCCTTCTCTCTCCCTCTGATTTATTAAAAGATGCAATGTCTTGGTTTAGTTATCAACAAGGGGGGTGCACAGTGATACTAATAGTCAGTGGGTTTTACTGCCCCCCTTTTGATTTTTGTGACTGTTTTAATTATCTTGTGCTTTACTCATCTTGGCAATCTATTATAACTTTGACACTTTTCTGTTTGGCTACTTGTTTTCTGCCTTTCACATTAGAATATAAGTTCTAGGACAGTAGGGCTTGGTCTGTCTCTCCCATTTTATTTATTCTTTTCCTTTATTTTAAGTTAAATTTTTTTTTTTTTTAAAGAGGCAGAGTTTCACTTGGTCACCCAGGCTGAAGTACAGTGCTGTGGTTATAGCTCATTGTAGCCTTGAACACTTAGACTCAAAGATATTTTCCTGCCTCAGCCTCCTAGGTAGTTAGGACAACAGGTATGCACCACCATGCCTGGCTATTTTTAAATTTTTTTTAGTGACAGAGGCTCCCTCTATTGCCATGGCAGGTCTTGAACTTCTGACCTCAACTGATCCTTCTGCCTCATCCTCCCAAAGTGCTGGTACTAACGGGCATGAGCCCCCTTACCTAGCTTATCTCATACACTTTCAATTCTCTAATGTCTAGAGTGTGACCAGCTTATAGTAAGTGCTTAGTAAATGTTTTCTCTGTAAGTGACTGAACTGTAGCTGAATGTACTGGGGGAGGGAAAACAAAGACTTTGTCCAACGGTAATCTATTTAAACTCACGAAACCTAAATTGTCTCATTAACAAATGTGGATAACAGATGACTTGTGTAAAATGACCAGTGATACACCAGCCAGGCAGTAGACTTTAAAATATTAGCTTTCTTCTTCCTTATATTTTTTCTTCTTATATTCAAATAGGAAAAATTTGGCAAACAATACGGTTAACTTGATAATTCAGTTCTTACCTATTGTATATGAATTAGTCAGTCTTATTTCTCTTTAATTTTGTGTGTGTGTGCACGCATGGTGGGGTGGACGGGTTGGGGGTAAAGAGAGTGAATTAGTGGGAGCTGTGGTTACCCGAGAAAGGACGCCATTTCTCCGTCATCATCCGATTTCTCCCGTATGTTGTTTGAATGCGGTAATGCTTCTCAGTAGATTTTCCAAAACATGATTCTTTCTCCTTGTCCACACCCAGATGCACGGAGCTGGCCCCAAGGCAGAAGCAAAACTTCAGAAAGAACACTACAAATCAACTATGTGTAACGCTTGTGTTCTTAAGCGAAGTGTTCTGTAGTCTTGTGCGGCATTTATATAGTAATAAATGCTGGATAATGACTACGGTTATCCTCTTTAGAGAAATAGAGAGTTTGTTTGCTAAGGTAAAACATATAGATAAGAAACAATTGGAAACCAGTGGAAGATCTTGCATAATCATTTACCTAGTGGTAGGATGCTGGCTATAACGGTTGTGGTAGTGAAAGAAGAGGTTGATATGGGCTCAACTAGTTGGAGACAGCTTCTTGGTAAAGGGAATGCGGCTTTAGTAACACAGAGACGTTAAGGTTCCTGAAAATTACAGCAAAAGATCATCTTTGTTTCAAGTGTGTTTGCTGTTTTGTACCTTATTGTATAAAAAGTCAATATGTATTGTCAAAAATTACTGTGGAAAATTATGAGAAATCCTCCAGAAAATTATGTATGTGCACAAAATAATAATTTTTCCCTGTCTTTAAAGTGTAAAGCCCAGAATTGGTGTTCAAAAGCATCACTCTATTCTTGTCACTTTTAACACACTTGCCCCAACATGTGTCAGATTGCCTGCCTGTGACTCTATCCAGTTGTGACCTTTTATCGGAATTGTCAGGGGAAAATTGTTACTCAGTTGTGACCCCTCCCTCCCAATATGTAGGGCTATTGGTATGGGATATAGGGAAGGACTGAATGGAATCAAAGAAGATATTATTAAGGTAGGTTGTAGTAGTTCATCAAAATACTTAGATAATTCCATTATGTCTTATTACCTTTAAGATAGGTAGAAAACTTGGAAGTGGCGTGTCAGGGGCAGAAGAAACTAATAAAGAGTATGCTTTACATTGCCTTGTTTTAGAATTGTTGACATAATGGGCGAAAGAAGTGTAGGAAAGAGATATGTTCAAATTTGACTCTGAGTGAGAAAGACGAGGGCCACTGTGGCTGCAAGTCAGGAAATCCCTAACAATTTCGACTAGACCTCTTCCTGTAACATATGGCTGGGGATTGATCTCAGCAACTTTTAAGAAAAAGGAAGCAAGAGATGTGAATGGTTTGAATACCTGAGGATGTTTAGATAATGATTGTGGTCAGAGTTTGTCCGGAATTTTAATTTGTGTCCTGACATGAATGTGACTGTGTTCCTTAAACATCTTTTTTGCTTGTTTTCCAGGATATTCATCTTTTATTAGAGGTTCTTAGTGGTTCTTTGGGTTGTGTATTTTTTCCCTACACCATAATGTACTCTTGTTTCCATTTTTCAGTTAAGAATTTTATGTTGGTTCTTTAAAAATCAGATTTCTGACTTATGCAGCAAAAACATGGTTTCTGATTCTTTTTAGGTCAAACTTTGGTTCTATTAGTTTACAAAATTAGTAAGAAAAAATTAGTTAGTAGATGTCTGCCAATTAAACATTTATTGGGACATGTTGTGTGATGTGTGATATAATAAACATATTCATCTCCAGTTCCTGAGTCAAGAATTTCTCTAAGAAGACCCTTGGAATCTCTGCAGTGATAAGTGTCTTTTTGTATACTAATGGGATAACAGGTCACTCTTGGTGGGCCACTAGATAGCTTCAGGATGGGAGTGGGGGCTGTTTGTCGCAGGAATAGATTATATATATCATTAGAAGGATGGAACTTTCAGCCTCACCCTAGACCTCTGGGGGAGACAAGAGGAGCTGGAAATTGAGTCAGTATTCAGTCAGTCATGACCAGTGGCCAGTAATTGAACCAATCGTACTTACGCACTGGAGCCTTCATGAAAACCTTAAATTATGGAGCCCGGAAAGCTTCTGAATTAGTGAATACATGGAGCGGCTGGAAGGGTGGCATGCCCTGAGAGGGCATGAAAGCTCCGCACCCCTCCCCCATGCCCTGTACTAGAACCTATTCATCTGACTGTTCTTTGC